GACATTGAGGGGCTCCAGGCAAGGAAGTCAAAGCCGAAGAGTTCTTCAATTAGTGTAAACACAAACGATGACACTCTCCATGGACCAAAGACCCTGGAACAGAGCCAATTTCCAGTGCCAATCCGGGCTTTCTGACTCGCCTCTCCAGATCTTCAGACACTTTAATATTTAACGCCCCTGGGAGCCGGCAGACAACGGAGCTGGCGACAATGAGCCCAACAACGCCAACGAGTATTCCACGAATATGTTCGTGATCATAAAATTATAATTTATGAACAAAAAGCAGCGGGCCAGCGGTGGAGGAGTTTTTCGGGGCGGGAGATAACAGGGGAGGGGTAACCACTGCAAGCTTATCTCATCTCGGGCATCTCTAAGTGCGCACATATGGAGGACCTGAGATGCAGATGCCGCGATGCCGAGATGCAGATGCAACAACCGACCCGACAAACCGACAACGCGACAGGCCAACAACACAACAACCCGACAACGATGACAACGTTTGGAGCGATTTTGGAGCGCGGCTCGCGTCAATTTCGTGGAGTGAGAAAATCAGGAATGGAGGGCTTTGGACCCAAGCACTGAGAAAAATATTGAAAAACTAAGTGAAACCACAATTTAAAATAAATTAAAAGAACTTAAAACCACATAACAAAATTGTTTAATTTTGAGTTATAGATTATACCACGAAATTAAAGATTGAAACTGTTTGATACAATGACTATTCTATGTATATACGTGCATATGTAGCTAGTAAGAATCTTTATTAAACAAATGCTGATTCAAACACCAAGCTTATTAAATGCATTCCTATAAATACTAAATAAATTCAACTGTGTTTATCCACAATCAAAGCTGTATTTTGGATTATATTTTTTCAAGTTCATCTTGGAACATTGGTGGCATAATAAGGAGTGGTTCCCATTTATTTTTCCTGGTGCACCAGTCCCTTTTTCAGGGCCCTCTGCCATGGGGGTGATTGTTGTTATTGTTATTCTGGTTGCTCTTTCTGTTTCCAGGAAAGACGCCTTGGGCTCTGGTCGCTGGTAACTTGAACAATATTTTCATATTTATTCAGGCTTGGACTCCGCTTGACATTGGTAGCCAGATCCCGAGGAGCATCCCTCCAAAGCGAAACTAATTTGCGGTTCTGCTGGCCGGCAAGTCATCTGCAATTTCCTTTGCTCGAGAGAGTCTGTGTTATTGTGCCACGCCCACTTGGACAGTGGAGGCCTAATAAGTTGGCTCTCCAAGGGTTGGGGCACCGAATCTTTCGGGGTCAACTTCCCGGGGGCTCCGACACACGCATCGCGTGGTATCTGTCTGTCTGGACAGCTTCTTTCTCCCTCTGTTTGTTCGATTTTTGTGGAGCACTTTGGTTTGGCTTCTGTTGCTTAATTAAATTCTTTTCACTTGCTCTGCTCTGCGGCTCTGATTGAGTTTGCGTAAAAACAAATTAGTTTAGTGGGAAAGTTTATCAATTAGGTGGTTGGGTTTCTCTAGCCAAAGTGCATTTGATTGGGTTCTCGCTTTGATGCTCGCTGAATTGAGTTGCAAGTCCATTGAAAACATTGAAAAAACGCCATAAATGGGAGGAAAGAATACTAAAGTCAACTTTATATCAGCTTTTGTACATGTTTGTAGCCAAAGGAATGAGCATTCTGCAGATTTTTAATTATTCGGGAGCGGGAAATTATTGCTTTTTACCCTTCTTATGGGTATAAAAAGTTTTTCAGTAACTTGAAAATAAAAGATTTACTTCCAACTGTTTTTTAGTAAATGTGGTGCAATTTTAGATATGAATTTCAGCAGAATTCAATTCCATATTTTCTTATAACAATAAAAAGATTAATAAAGGTATTTAAAAATTCGCTTTCTGCGAATCTATCCATTCCACTTAAATGTAATTTTTGCAAATTATTCACTCACTTCTTCTGAGCCCGATTCACATTGTCAGTTTCTGTGCTTTTGTTGAGTGCAAAATTAAAAATGATCGTCAGCGAAGGCTCCGGCCGTTTATTGTTATGGGCCACTGTGGGTCTTGCGGTCTCCCCCGTCTGGATCATAACTCACAACCACATCGGAGGATATGCCCCCTCCCCCTCCCCACTGTCCGTTCACTATGTGAAATATCCTGCCCCAAGCTGGGGGCAATAATTTAAATGCGCTCTATTATTTATTTGAGCATATGTCAATGGAACTTATTTATTTATTCACGCCAGCAATAATAAACAAAGAGTTTCGTGTAGAGATGCAAAATGGGAATAAAATCGCTTGCGGACTCAGCACTGCTGGCTGTTAATAAGCAAATGGAGCGGGGGGCTGGGGTGTGCTGTGGAAAAATCCGGGGAAAAGGGCGGAAAATTTGAGGGAAACGGGGGAAGGTGAAGGGTTTATGCCGCAGCGATGGCAACGCGTTGCTGACGTTAATTGACCGCAACAATTTTTTTTCGCCGCTGCAGTGTGCAGTAAATTTTAATGAAATTGCTGCCATTGCACACGCCCACCGATACAAAGTGGGCGTGGCCAATTGCCAACCGCCTCCCGCCTCCCCTGTGTCCAAAGTGCTGATGACATGCTGTCAGCGACACTTCGTGCCGCTTGTTGCATGCCGCAGAAGCAAAAATAAAACTGAAATTAAACACACAAAAAAAATTAAAATCTATAAAGGAGGGAATGCGAGTTACATATAAAAATTATTTACGACTGGGGCTTAATTCACGGCTCACTGGCCAACGGCTATACTCGTATCTACATACATTGGTTGTTGGCTCCTCTCGAATTCTCTAGCCTCGACCCCAAACTCCTCTTTGTTTCGGCTGCCATTTATGATGTTGCTGCATTTATAAATTAATTAAAAATAAATTACTTTATGTTGCATGTCCAATTTCATTAAAGTTGCCAATGCAACGGCAGACGATAAAAAAATAAATAATTATGCAGAGACAGTCGGCAAGAAAGTGTCGTGAAAAAGTTGAACTTACAAAGTTGTTTTTATGAGAAAAGAATTGAAATTTTTTGGCGAAGAAAATATGCGTTAATATAAATAATAATATAATTATAACAAATTTTAGTTTTTTAAATTTTAGTCTTTTTTATGCCTTTATTCTCGATCAACTTGATCGGATCAACTGTCCTCTTCTTCGATCACTCTCTTTTTTATACATGGAATTTCTTAACTCTATCCAATTATAACTATCGATATTTACATTATTTAGTATTTAAAATAATACAATGCTTACAGTTTATAGGATATAAAGTGCATTGGGTTCTTAAAAAGATCATACAAATGTATTTGTATCCTAATATTGTAAGTAGGTCAACGTTTTTATTTTTCTAATCCAACACTTGTGATATATATATTTGCACAGGGCAACAGGTGTAAACTCCATAGATAATCCCTTCAGCCCAACACATTTGTGTACATAATGCACCTCATATTTGCCTGGGCCAAACACACAGATTCCGCCGAGTTAATGTCGCATTAAGACGGCAATCCCAACTCGGATGCCATATAAATCCACCGGTGGTAGCCGGGTCATATATATTCTGCCCCTGAATTGTTGCACGAGAGGTGCGGGAGGAGATCGGGGCAGATGGAGGTGCTGCAGCGATGCTGCAGATAAATTTTCGTGTTGTCACACCTTGCAACTTGCATGCCACATAAATATATTTCCACCTCGAGCCGCCGAAAGGTGACACTGTCTGCATTTATGTATGTGCACCACTGATGTTTTTTTTTTTCTTGTATGGATTGGGGTGGGGTAAATAAAGATATCACAAGGTAGCAGAGCTCGATTTCGCATTCAGAGGTACCCGAATCCCCTGAATCCCCAGTCTTCGCACCTTTTTGCAGATTGAAAGTGAAATATTATTGAATGCCGCCAGGGGAAAGGATGGGTCCTTCTTGGAACTGGCCGCATTTAATTTATTGGGAATATTTGATGTTTGATTTTTTTGTACAGCTCATCCGTTTTTTCTTATCGGCTTGTCACTGACCTTTTTTTTGGCAGGCAGTGCACTTTCGGATTGAAGTTTTATTCGAATAAATAAATAAATGATGGAGACTGAAGTGCAGAAAAATATTTGCTTATCAACAGAAAGCGGGGTTCCGAACTCGAAACTGCCAAAATATTGCGATATATGTATGACTGAAGAGTTGGGCAACAGGTGTGATATAAGTTCGGTGAGTTTCGATGAGATAAGCCAGTTAAGTGGAGCATAAAAAAAAGGCTAAGGTATGTTGAAAGTTTTAAAGATATTACCGGTAAATAAGGTGAAATAAATTTCGAATTATACCAACGTTTATTGGTAACCAAAGTAATTTTTAAAACGAATAAATAAATGCCTTTCAAATAGCCTTTCTAGCGATGTTTAGCACTACAAAAATAGCTTAAATATATGCAATTAATAATCATATTAAAGAGGTTTAAGTCATATTTTTTAAGATCCACTTAACCCGCCGCGCAACCGATTAACAAGAAGTCCAATCTACGTAGAAATCAATTAGCAACTGTCGGAATGGCTGGCCAGAAAAGTGAAAATCCAGGGCAGACAGCATAATGCCACCCAGGAGCTGTCAATGAGGGAATACCACACACAACCGGCTGGATGAGGAGAAAATGAAGCCTGGTCACGCACAGAGAACAACAAAATAGTAGGACAAGATAGAGATCCCGATTCCCAGCTCGAATATGAAATTATTCAAATGCAGCCACGAAGTATAAATTCAAGTTAATCCGCACAGCTGGATGTCAGTCCCCTGGAGGCAAACGAGCGGATCTGGATCTGGTTGGGGATCTATATAGAGCTATATACAAACGCGAACAAGGATTCAAAGCTGCCTGCCCGTTGATGGGCGCCGGCTTTTAATCATTATTAATTATCCAGGCCGGGGTGGAATATAAATCACTTGTGCTTGCGCTGCAGCATTTACGGTGGGAGGAGCGACTAATCTATTCCTTGCCAACTTGCAAAACGCCAAGAAATGCGGCTAATTACATGGGAGGCAGTCGAGCATCAACAATTCATTTATTTCAACGTTAAAAGGGAATGATTCGATTAATTATCTACCAGTTTCTGTTCTACGATCAGTCGGACTCGCTTTCCAAATCGGCGACTGGATCCACGTTGACTGGATCTACTTCCATATGTGGTTCCTCCTCAATCCGACTGTTTACAACTTTATAGATAACGCACACATCCCGGTAGTCATTCTCCTTTAAGTTCAATGACTTTAGAGCTAGCTTCTCAGCCTTTTGGAGTTTCAACTGCACGTTCCAGTTCTTGGCCAAAAAAGTTATAATATTATTTGCTTCCTTGCCTTTTGCTGTGTAAATCACGTTCTTCCATTTGCCATGCGGCTTCAAACTGAAGACATGAAGACCCTTGTCATCCTGCCCAGCTATTATAACGTCCACCGATTCAACATCTTCGTACTTCCGGCACAATATATCCCGCACTTGGGCCACCATTAATTTGAATCCCCAAACGCGGGATTGATAATCCACCACGGCGCCCACTGACAGAATTAAATCGCGATTTAATCCAGATCGAGGGGCACAACAGCTTTGAAAGAAGATAAAATAAAAGTACTACTCATATAAATGTGATATATTCTTACTAGATGCGTTCATCCAAGTGGTAAAGAGCATGTTCCCTTGAATTGGTGGCCAGGATAACGCCATCGACGCACATGAGACCCACCATGCTGCCTTCACTAGAAGAGCTATGGGAAAAAACAAATTAATAGTAACACAATACATTAATTAATCCAATTAGCGAACTCACCTCTCCTCAGCCAACATTTTGCTTATGGATCTCCAAAAGCAATCACGCGGAAAAGTGTCAGTTAAATGATCTGCAAAGCCAAATCGTGTAAGTGATATCTCATCCCAAGCCGTGAAAAAATTCAAGTTGAGCCAGGTCGAAGCGACGACCTCGAATCGCGTGAAAGATGAATATTTGCTCAAGTAGATTAAGGCTTAAAAAAGTGTCAACGCCTGCTAAACACAAAAAAAACAAAAACCTGTGTGGCCGAGAAGCGTGGATACCAGCCATTGTCTGGAAGTAAGTGATATTGGCAGACCGAGGCTATCTGTCACCTACACTTGATGGCGATCTTCAGAAGAAGATGAAGATGATTATGATGATGATGGGGCAGCTCCAACTGGTTATCGTTAACCGCGAAAATGTGATCATCTAAGGGCCAGAAGTGCAACAGCTTCTGAAGGAAACTGCACCTGCTGCTCGAGGGCTCTGGCCCTAAAAATAGATGCAACCTGTTGGCGGAGTGAAGACCAGAAGGCCTCGAGTCCACAGACACGGGAGATATTTTAACGAGCGCCATTAATTTTAAGCGACACTGTCCGCGTAACGATGTAATCGATGTGTTAATTAGCTTGGTCAGGGACAGGGATTAACTAACCTCAAGTCTGAATGGATTATACTCTATTCTGCGTCTATTCAATTCAAGATTATAAACCTGAATGAGGTTTGAGGTATAATTAAAAGCCTGCTTGGCTGCAATAAAAAACAGGGTTTGCAATCAATATAAAAGGATTGGCAGGAGATTGATAATTATACTTTTTCAATGCAGCATCATGAAACATAATTAATATTTAAACAGCAAAGCGTCATTAAATCAAAGCTCGTTGCCATTATCAACCTAAATTGATGTATTAATATTAATTGAAAACTAGTTCATCAAAGGCAATTAACACTACAATTTTTATTATGAGCCGAGGAAATAACTTTGAAATTAATTATCACACGCTAAAAAACCTATATTATATGGACAGGTATTTAATTAAAGTGTTATTATTTGAAGGTGTTAGTTCAATCAATTTTAATCATTATTAGCTGTCAGATTTTTTTCAAGTCAAGTCCAATATTGTCTGCAGTCAGATAGTGTTCCTTCTGTTTGGGCTTGTTATCGTTTTCCCATTTGACAAAATAATAATCGCGTGAGTGTCTTTTCCTCCTTACATTATTATTATTATTGGTACTCGTCTGCATGTCTGGAATTTAATTTTTTCTGGCATTTACAAAACACTTCAACCCGTTTTGACAAGAGCCGACGATGACAGCAATTACCATACGATTTGCATGACGTTTATGTTTATTTTCGCTTTGTATTCTCCTCCTCGGCTGTCGTGAATATTTCGCCCCAGCCTTTCTGTTCTTTTTGGCCCCCAGGTTGCTCAGGTTGATTTCGATTTTGACAGCTGCCTGACTCACTCGGTTGGTCGCATTTCGTTCGTTGGATTCGCATTTCATTAGCTTGTTATGGACCACCTACGGCCAGCGCTGACAGACGACTTGCTGCCCCCCTTGGATTCCCCTACCTCCACCTCTCGGCTTTTGGCCATTTGGCAGACCCACAGCGAAGCAATTAAGCCGCCTGGCATCGAAAACAATCCCAACCAATGGGGCAATTTAAGGTATTTACAAAAGCGTAAAAAGGTAAAGAAAACAAGACTGGCTCCTCCCAATCAAAACAAGACGAAAACCACTCGAGGCCCTCTCTGAAATGTCAATCGTTCAAGTTTAAAGTTGTGGCTCTGCATGCGAAAAGGCAACCTCAGCAAAGATTCTGTTTTTTCTACCTGCTTTTGAAATAAAATTTGCTAGTTTTTAAGGCAACTTCGAGCATAAAGGATTTTGTATAGACCTGGACTCAAATATAGCTGGCGCTGCAATACTAAAAGAAATTGAAAAAAATATAGTTTTATTACAACTTATAGTTTTTCTTGTTCTGGCGATATTATACATTAGTTCAAAAACATTTCATCTCAAATTTATTTTTAAGAAAAAATGCAATTCAAAAATGCATAACGAGTTTTCCAGCATTAGTTGAATTTTTGAGAAATATTGAAGACTTTTTTTTTAGGTTACAAAATGTCTTAGCATGCCTTTGTGTCTTCGGCATCATCGTCGTCGTCCTTGTCTTGGATATTGAAGTAGACCATGGAGTAGGTATCCTTGGCAGTGGACACAACGCGAACCCAATCGCGCAGGCTGTTCTTCTTCAGATATCGCTTGGCTAAGTACTTGAAATAGCGCTTCGAGAAGTGCACTCCACTGTGAACAACCAGCGAGGAGTTCTTGGTCCGCTCGAAGGTCACCAGCTCGTTGAGCTGGTTGACCTTGTTCCTCACCTTGATGTGGGTCTTCAGGTACTTCTCAAAGTCGGAGACATCCAGAATCAAATCCTCAGACACGCATTCGCAATCGATGATGAAGCGTTGCCAGACCTTCTTTTTGGCTAACTTTTTTCCGCGTAAAATGTTCTTCGGTCGTTGGGGCTTCGGTTTTGGTTTCGGTTTGGCCGGGGTTGCAGCTTTGGTTTTGTTAGCTAAGGAATCAGCACTTTCCTTTTTTGATGGATCGGCTTCCTTTTTTACGGGCTTAGGGGCTGCTAGAGTTTTTGGTTTTGGCTTTTGAGCCGTGGCCAACTTTTTGGTTGCTGGAGCCTCATCTTTCGGTTCGGTGCCACGTTTCGGAGCAACAGATCTTGGTTTTTTAACTAACTCCGTAGCCGAAGAACCCGATGATGGGGCCAATTTCTTTCCAGATAAATCCGTGACTTTTTTGGCCGAAGAGACCACTTTTTTGGCTTCAGCTTCGATGGCCTTTTTAGCCGCCTCCTTTTGGGCCAGCTCGAGATTCCTCAATGCCACCGCTGGAGCTTTGGCAACTTTTTTTGAAGAAAGTGGCTGGGTAGGAGGTTTCGCAGGAGCTGCGGCTTCTTCTTCTACTTTCTTTTTTGGTGGAGCCTTCGATTTTGGCTTTGAAGCCGCTTTTTTAGTAGTCGCTGGCTTCATTTCTAACTGAAAACAAATTTTAACGCATACTATAACTGGTTTTAAAATTTCTTACTTAAGAAAATTTTTATTAGCCAAGAACACGTGACTTCCTCCGGAAAAAATGAAGCAGGAAAAGGATTAGTGTGGCCAGGTTCAGTGATAAATTAAATATGGATGTGCTTTAATGCCAGTGTTGCCAGCCGGTAATCGAATGTTGTTTACGTAAACTCGGAATTGCAATTATTCGATTCTTCCTTGGCGACTCTTTTGAAAAAAACAGGAAAAAGCTGACGAAAGAAAACAAGATTGTGAAGAGGGGTGAAAATGTTGACGCTCTGATTTAACACTGATTAATTGGCTCGAAATTATTATTACAACTTGTCGGCGAGGCATCAATTTGGCCTCGTTTGTTGTTTCGCCTCGAGTTCAGGTTCTCAATTTGTAATTTTTAAATTGCTGCTCCCTTTTAAGCAGGTTTATTATAGGCTTTGTACTTAAGTGAAATCGATTTAATCTTAAGGACACAAGTTCGAGATAAGTTACTGAATTTGCGAAGCATTGGCATACTACCTTTTCGTTCTCACGAATCCACACAGATAGCTCACCTTTTGCAGACCCTTGAAAAATTGATTTCCAAATGCCTGATTAAACTCTCATCACTTCTCTTTCTCTACCAGTTCATTTATTTTCGAGTTTAACAAACATTTAGCTATCGCTTCAATATTTTTTAACCAAAAAGAAATCCCTAAATTGCATAACATATCGCTTTGCAACGAGCGCCATTTATCAAATGCAAATGAAAGAGTTGGCCACCAACTGGGATTTGGGATTGGGGAGTTGGGGATTGGGGGACGGGATGCCACCTCCTATCGGCAGTGAAAATAAAAACAAAAGAGTGCAAGGCAAAGTGAATTCCCGGTGAGCGTTTAATCAAAATTTACCGGCGAACGCGTTCGCTGACAATGAGAAATTGCAACAAATTCGCGCTACAGCGAAACCTTCTCTCTCTCTGTCTGTCTCTTTCTTTTTCGATGCAACTATCTCTTTCGCTCGTCACTGCCAAGAGCAAACAAGGCTTAAAACGAAGGACGCAAAAGGGGGTGGGGGAGTGTCGATAGCAGCGCAAACAAAGCACCGCAGAAAGACCAAAGAAATGCAGCGATCACGTATACGCACCCCTGCCCACCGAAACTCAAAGCTCCGAATCTACCTAATCCTCTTTCAAAATTTATATCAAATTTCTTAATCATCAGGAGATTTATTTATTTATTTCGTAATATCAATATTTAGTCCTATAATTTTGGACACTTTATATGAGTAATGATTGAAAAAAGGGATTCATTTTTTTTTCAAATTTTGTTTCTATCCAAAAATATTTTTTAAAATATCCTTCTGAGGATTTTTAAGCTGCAAGATAATGCCACATTTTTTTTATTTATTCAAGTTTTTAACTTTGCAAATAATGAATAAGTAAATAGGGTATTTTAAGAGTCAGCTTCCAAAAACCGAACCCACCTTTCGGTTTCCCATCAGTCCATGAAGCTCCTGCTGCTAGGATGCTACTCGATTTCCCCGCCGCCGACTGGATATTGTTTTCTGGCTTTAGGTACTTTTTTCTCGGTTTGGTTTCGGCTGCGGATATGAAAAATGATGCCGAAACAATTTTTACAACCAAAAGCGCTCGCAGGCCTAACCTCGATGGCTCTTCCTCCACGTCCTCCTCCTTCTCGCGGAATCGGATTCGGATATTCGGAGGCAGGTAAAAGCAAGTGGAGTGCCTCCCGCTCACTGCGACCACTCGAAATTGATTGATGGGCCCGGCGATGGGAAAACTGCATCGGTGGGCGTGACGAGTCCTCTGTTGGCTCTTCCACCCTTTACCCCCTTCATCACCCTCCCCCCACAAAAGTAGAGAAATGATCGGCGGAGTCGTGCGGCTTCTGGCCCGAAATCAATCTGGCTAAACGGTAGCAAATGGGCGGATGGAAAGCGGAAAATGGGATTGGCGGTGCGGAGGCGTTTTTGGCCTGGGAGTTTGGCTCGTTATGGAAGCCAATGGACGTCCAGGGATATTGATCACTTCGACATCAGGTGGGCAGTGATCGTAGGAGGGTTTTTACTGGGACGTAAGGCCAAGTCTACTGAAATACCCTGATTTATGCCTGGAATTTAGGCTTGGCAATTAAAATGATAAACGAACAAAATAAAAGCAAGCAACTTGTATATAATAACAGCTATTTATTTTATTTGAAAAACATATACAGGGTGCGCCATCTCGAGCTTCGGTATGAAAATATTGAATAACTTTGGAAAAAAACAAAAATTCATGGAAAATGTTTTATGTTTATTTAGATTGATCCTTTACAATTCATTTGAGTTAGTTTTTTAAGGGTCTAGAAAATTTCTGGTTTCAGCAGGACGGGGTCCCATGTCAGACAGCAAACGAAACCATGCAGTTTTTGCAGCAAAATTCCTGGATGCGTTGTGTCAAAAAGAGGCGATATCGACTGGCCGGACTTGACCCCGCCGGATTTCTTTTTGTGGGGTATACATAAGCAAGCCCTAGACCATCACAGAGCTCAAGGAGAGTATTCGCACCGAAATGGCCAATATATCGGCCGATTGCTCAAGAAAATAATGGAAAATGCTCGAAAAAGGACACTTTTTGCCATCAAGAACAAAGGAAGTCACTTAGTCGATATTGTATTCAAAAACTAACTCAAATGAATTGTAAAGGATCAATCTAAATATATGTAAAACATTTTCCATGAATTTTTGTTTTTTTCCAAAGTTATTTAATATTTTCATACCGAAGCTCGAGATGGCGCACCCTGTATGTATGTATTGTATGTTTTAACCAAGACAGGAAAATTGGTAATTTAATCATTTTAACTGTATAATATTTTATTAAGTGATTCAGATTTTGGTTTACTGCAGCAATAAGTTAGGCACATAATACAAACCCAAACTGCCTTACAAAAGATATTCAAAAGTAAGATAATATCACTGCTTTTGAATCAAAAAGCCAATCCAAGACCATAGGAGTCGATATACTCCAACTCTTGACACCTTTTATTGCCACAAATTGCAAGCTTAACCAAGTTGATCAGGCTAATGAAATGCAAACCGCCAATTGAGATAGAAAATGCAAATCTATGGCCAAGCAGGCAAAGAGTTGCCAATCTCTTTAGCCACAATATACGACTATATGGACATAGTGCTCCAGTTGGCCAAATGCTATTGCAAACTGACTCAACACACAGGCCAAAATTGGCAATGTGCCAACTAAAATAAACAGTTATTGAGTTGACTGTTTGACACTTCCCGCTGCGATAGGCCAAAGAAAATGGGAAATGAACCCAACACCTGGTGGGTGACTCCACATCCCAATCCCCAACCACTTCCCATTCGAACTGTAACTCTGTCTCCAGTCGCTCTATTAATTAAATTAAATTTCAATATAAATTCAAATGGGCAAAGCGTGCCCGCTTACGAGTTCTAATTGGGCGAGTGCGAGTCAATTAGGCGAGGGGGAAAAGCAGGCAAAAGGCAGGAAAAGCGGGAAAGCCCGCCCATTGTGAGCCAGTAAGTCAGGATTGGAGTCGGCGTCGGAGTTGGAGAATGTTGGTTGCGGGTGGCCAGACCTAATTGTTTATTTATGGAAAGGCCCAAAGCCGCCTGCCTGCCTGCCTGCCTTTCGCAACTCTTTTCCGACACAACTTTCCGCGGCGAGGGAAAGAGAGGCCTCACTTTTCATTAATCACGCAAATGCTTATCGCCTGACCAGCAGTAGGAGCTCCTTTTCCTCGAAGAGTCAAATCGTGGCCATAATTTGTCTGCCTTGCTGGAAAAGCAACGGTGAGCAGTGTGAATGCGAAAATGCGCCTTGCATGACCAAGCCAAACTCAAACCAAAACCAAAACCCAAACCCAAACCCCTCATCATCATCATTCTGACTACGCCTGCTGACCACTTCCGTGCCTTTGAGGCCTCGCCTCTGATTATGTGATGCTTCAATTCTGGACCTGGCCAACAAAAGTGCAGGAGCCGGGAAAACTACTGGGGGGAAAGAGCTCCACGAGCGCTGTAGTGTGTGAAAATTCTGTGGGAGGCACATTCCTTTCATCTCGCTGCACGAAGGTGTCAAAACTCCACTGAGAAAAGTATTATAAGTTCTGAACGTTTATTAAAATATGATCTAAAAAGTTATGTTAATAAAACTAAAGCTGTTTAATCTTAATGATATCAGAACTATTTTTAGTTTAGACTAAATTTTTGGTTAAGGCTATTTACGAATACGAAAACTACGAAAAAGGAGCTGCAGAAGCTTATATCTGAAAGTGTTACATTAATTTTTAAATACTAAGGCCCCTTTAAACAGATTTTTTAGTCATTATGTGAAGCTGATTTTTATCAGTGCCTGAAGTTTTCTCATCTAAACTAGAAAGGGCTTTCTTTTCGCAGAGGAAGCCCTGCAATCCTGTTTACAGTTTTCGCTGCTTTGTGTGGGCCATTAGAATCACTTAACTTGATAGTGGCCCCCAGCTACATTGAACTTTGCTCTCGCCCACTCTCTAAATTAAGATATTATCAGATCTGACAGTCGTAACTTATGTCATTTATGTCCACGATATCTTCAGACCCACCCACACTCTGCTCCATCTCCTTTTCTGCTTTTGAGTAGATGGAGATTGCCCAAAGGAACTGGCCGGGGAAAAAAGAGAGCAGCCAGACAACCTGGCAGACACTGGGCTCCTTTTCGGCCATATTAGCAAGGCAAATTTCCCAAAAGGCGCAGGAAAAGCTCTCGAAAGAGCGGGAAAAAAAAATGTAAGGACGAGATGCGCCAACAAGTATGCAATACAATCTTGAAACTCGAATAACGGAAATAAAAATTATGAGCCTGGAATATTTTAGCGTTGGCAATTTGCATAAGAAAACCGTTACGGGAGAAAAGGAACTCCGGCTGGAGAAGTGGCCACAAGATTGGACTCCGCTCGGCTCGACTCGACAAAATTTGCTTTTTTTTCTCTTGAGGGGGAAGGACTTGGAGCACGTGCCTAGTGGCCTACACTCCCACCAAAATGGCCGTACAGTTTATTGTTGTTTGGGCGTTGTAATTGATAAGTTAATTTACATTTTTATTGAATG